GGGGATGGGATAAACCTGAGCTGGTTCCTCACCCCTCTCCTCTCCCTCCCCCCGGGCAGGGAGCGGATGGAGGCGATGGAGAAGCAGATCGCCAGCCTGACGGGGCTGGTGCAGAGCGCGCTGCTCCGCGGCTCCGAGGCTGAGACCCCCAGGTAAGGAATCCTGTGTCCCCCCACCCCTTCCCGGGGGACGCCAGCCCCCACCGTGCCCCTGCAGACCCCTGATCCCGGGGGGGACCAAGAGGTGCTGGTCCACGCTCACCCCCGGGAGGTGCCTGGGCCACACTCACCCCCTTCCTCTCTTCCATTGCAGCGAGAAGACCGAAGCCACCAACGGTGGGACCCCCCCATCAGCGTGTAAGTGACTGTGGAGTCAGCCCCTCACCCCACAGCAACCCCCCACCTCTGCCCACAGCTTCTGGGGGTCCCAGGGTGGGCGCAGGATTGGGGACTCTGCACCCCTCACCACGTGCTGGCAACCAGAGGGACCCCCTGGGTCCTGCTACAGAATCACAGAATCTTCTAGGTTGGAAGGGACCTTAAAGATCATCTTGTCCAACCGTCAACCTAACTCTGACAAAAATAGTCACCCACACAACAAACAAGGAGCATCATCACCAAACCATACCTCCCAGCACTACATCAACCTGTCTTTTGAACACCTCCAGGGATGGTGCCTCAACCACCTCCCTGGGCAGCCCATTCCAAGGGCTGAGCCCATTCCAATGTCTACGGGGCAGCTCTGGGGTGGCATCTCCTCAAAGCCAGCGTGGGGTGGTGGGTAGCCCACCCAGTAGGAAGCCCAGGGTGGGTTTTCCTGGGAAAGTGGTGGAGCAGGGTCTGCAGCCCCTTCCAGGGTGGGGGGATCTTCCCTCAACAGCCTCTGTCTGCCCCTCCCCGCAGCCACCAGCCGCAGTGGCATGGGGACACCGGTGCCTGCGCCACCGCCACCCTCGGCCACCAGCACGCCGGCGGGGCAGCCCACGGCCATCACCCGCCTGCACATGCAGCTGCACCTCCACGACCTGCAGCAGAACGCCAGCGACCTCCGCAACCAGCTCCAGCAGCTCAAGAAGCTCCAGGTGGGTACCCTGGAGGGTGGGGAGAAACCCAATCCCATCCCAACCCAGCTCTTACGGGGAAAACCCCATCCCATCCCATCTCTTCCTGGAAAAACCCCATCCCATCCCATCCCATCTCTTACTGGAAAAACCCCATCCCATCCCATCCCATCCCATCTCTTACTGGAAAAAACCCATCCCATCCCATTCCACCTCTTACCGGGAAAACCCCATCCCATCCCATCCCATCCCATCCCATCCCATCTCTTACTGGGACAACCCCATCCCATCCCATCTCTTACTGGGAAAACCCCATCCCATCTCTTACTGGGGTGGCTCCAACCCTGGATCAGGAAAAGTCCCCTTTTCCTGGTCACCTCGCATGGGGCTGGACGTTGGAGCTCAGAGCTGTCCCCACGCTGGTCCCCATTGAGGGGGGATCTTGCCCAGCCTGAAGCCCCCCCTCCTTCCTCCTCCTCGCCCCCCGCAGCTGCAGAACCAGGAGACGGTGAAGACGATGCTGCGCCGGACGGAGACGGAGATCAGCGTGCGGGTGACGGACACCATGCGCAAGCACGAGGACCCCCTGCAGCGCCAGCGCAGCTTGGTGGAGGAGGAACGGCTCCGGTACCTCAACGAGGAGGAGCTCATCACCCAGCAGCTCAAGTGAGACGGGGCTGGTGGTGGGACTGGGCATGACACTGGGGAGGGGGTCCTTTCACCCTGACCTCCATGGGCCAGGTCCTCCATGGGTGTAAATCAGCAGCTCTGATCTATGGTGCCGGGTCACATCCTTGACCACACGCCCAGCATGGAGGGGTCTTCTCCTGAACTGGCCACCCCTTGGGGTCACCAGTGTCCCCGAGCAGCAATGACCCCCCTGCTCTGCCCTCTGTGCCCACAGTGACCTGGAGAAGTCGGTGGAGAAGATCCAGAAGGACCTGGCCCACAACCACCGGCTGATCCCTGTGCAGGAGCTGGAGGAGAAGGCGGTGGTGCTCAAGCAGCTGGGGGAAACGCTGACGGACCTCAAGGGTGAGGAGGTGGCTGGGGCTGGGTGCCAAGTGGACCCTCCATCTCCCTCCTCACCCACGGGATGCTCCAAGTCGCTCGTTGCCTCTGGGTTTGGGTGTTTGCAGCTGCCAGAGCGTCCCCCTGTGTCCCCAGGACAGGTCCCCCCGATGCCTTGTGTGTCCCCCTCAGGCTTTGGGCTGCTGTGGGGGTGAGGGCTGCACCCCCCTCCCTTCCTGCCAGCCCTGTTTGCTCTGCTCCCTGCCTGAATCAGTCCTGCAAAGTCCCCTTGAGTCCCCTGGACATCTCAGAGCTGCTGCCTGTCCCTGTCCCACTGGGGACGTGGTCCTTAACCAACCCCCCTGGATGCTGCCCTTCATTTTG